TTGAGGACCTCAGACCAAATGTTGACTCTACAGTTAGAAGAATCAAAACACACGTCTACAAAGTTACATTTTCTTTGTACCCGCATGTTTTGATACATTATGAGACTTTGGCTATTGGTTGCTAGTTGTATTATTGATACACTTTTTGTTGAGCCCGGGCTTGTCCGGTATCTTATGTATCTTATGTATTTGTTACTTATGATTTGTCCGGATATGTCCGGAACTCTTGTACTTTGTACTTCATTGTGATTTGCCCGGGTATGCCCGGAGTACTCGTATTAGTTATTCATTTGTGATTTGCCCGGGTATGCCCGGAGTACCATGTATCTTTGATCAATTAATTAATTTTTACCGATCAAAAAAAAAAAAAATGTTTTACATATGAACTCAAAATTTTTTCATACATTTTAACCATACATTCTCCTAAAAATAATATTCAATTTTTTTTTTTTTTTGGAAATAATGGGCACCAAACAAGGCCTACAAATACAAAATTCTTGAAAGCAAAGAGAGAAAAGAGAAAATTACAAAGAGGAGAGAGCTTTCAAAATTTTTGATGTGAGGAATAAGGAAGGGAATACTGCTTTATATAGTACTAGAATGAGAAGGGGTTTCAATTCCCCATTAAGTTGCATTAACATATAAATGTAACGATAACCATTAGGGCTTTATAACCATCAATTCATTTGGAAAAATTAATTAGGAAATTGAAACAAATTAAATTGGTTGTTGCAGTTGTCATTCACTTCATTTTATTTGAATCTTTTACATAGGGATGACAATGGGGTCAGGGGCAACCTCTCCCGCCCCCCACCCCGCCAAGCAATTTCCCGCCTCGTTCCCGCCCTGATACCCGTTTAAGGTGAGACGAGACGAGGCGGGGCAGGGCGATAACCTTGCCCAGTTTATCCTGTTTAATTTTTTTTTGAAATTTTTGATAATTCATTTTATTGTCCACATTCATTATACTGAAACAATAATATATTTTTTAATCTTTACTTATTTTTGAAAGTTAAATTATTCAAATATATTTGGTAAATTAAGGCTTTTATTGTTTGTCTTATTTTTTAGATAATTTTAGTTG